TTACAAAATACTAGTCTACTAAAACACAGCCAAGACAAGTTACTTTGTACAGACCAAAGGCTAGTTTTGTTATTGGATACAGTAACATGAGTGCATGTGTGCTGAGTTATTGTAATTTCTGTATTCTTAGCCAGGCACGGCTGAAAGATCAATATCATAAAAATAATAAATAGATATAAATGTATAATGTTATTAAATTTAAACTATTTAGTCTGAACATTTATGTTTTCATGTTATAATTTGTGCTCATTATTGAAAATAACATAAAATATAAAGTTTTTCATAAGAAATGTTTAATAACTATCTGGACATTATAAAGATTTCATGTGTGAAATTTGAACATTTTCTGGTGCATAAAAGTATTTTTAATCTTAAAATGAAAATTACTTTGTATGTTAGATAGGCAACATGCAATAAGAAAAAAAAATGCATGAGAAAAGCATTGCTTTACAAACCTTAAGACCTGATTAAAAATTCGATATTTTGCATATGAAAGCATTGTAATGTTTACTGATAATGTGCCAAATTTTGTTAATATTCGCTTACTAATTTAAAAGTTATAGCATGAAAATTATAACAAGCATGAAATGCTTACGAGGTTGGTCCAAGGGATTGAGCCTGTGCTAAAAGAGTTAACATACAAAAAATACATAAGAACTAAAATAGAATGTCTCAAAGTTTCTGTAATTTAACTAGCTTTCTAATTAAGCTGTAGGTAATATACAAAATTGTTAGATGTTTGAGGCTGGACAGCAGTATTACAAGCAATGGAATTGAAGTCAAATTATGAGTGATAAAATGAAATAATTCGTATAAAGAATCTTGTAAAGAAAAAGTTTCTTTTGCTATTGGTTATAAATAATCCAATAACAATGTCAGTAAGAATTTTTTGAAAGATAGAATGGTATAGGAGGGGTGTATCATGTGGGTTGGATTTTTTGTATCTTAGTTAAGGAAGAAAACTAAGTTTATATTATGGCTCGTCTATACCTATATTATGAGTTGTAATTAATTAGACATTTTGAAACCCATAAGATGGGCTGTTTGGTGTACAAAGGCATCATGTGACATAGACAAGTTAAGATTGAAAACTTATTTAAATATTTCTTTTTGAAATTAATCTTGGATAATATAAAACACTGAATTATAAAGTATGTTTTGATACCAAGCTTACTGACCTATATTAACAATAAAGTTTCAATAAATTTCGAATGCAACTGTAAAATGTTGTGACAATGCTCACTTTGACTTTGCAGTACACATATGATTAATTTAAAGAAAAATTAAATATTTTTTGTAAATTACAGAAACCTACTATAATGTTGTTATGGAACCTTTTTAGAAATAGCTTTAGTTGGCCGTGTCTCTTCCTTTCTAAAAAAATATTGCATTTCAAAGGCTTCAGCTGATGTATTTTAATAATAATGCTAGAATAATGAGAACTGTACTCCTCCAATGTCCCACAGAGCCTTAAAAAGTCTTAAATATGTTGCTAAATGTCTTAAAATGTCTGAAATCTGTCATAGGCCAAAACAATATGTTTACACTCTTAGTGGACATGCATATACAAGTTCCCGTGGGAACGAAGCATGTACTAAAATGGTTTCGCCTTCTCCTCTAAAATTGTTTGTGTGCATTTTTGCTGCCAGCAGGGTTTGCACTTTGATCAAGAGCTAAATCTCTGGTGATATTCTTGCCATAATGGCTGAGACAAAGTTCTTTGGACTTGTCTTTGACTATAAGCTGGCATTTATTCCTCATGTTAAGCAACTTTGTGTCAAGTGTACTAAACATTTTCTGCATCCTCTCTTCTACTTCTTCGGGTTTGTACAGATGTTACATGCTGAAGATGAATCATGCCCTCATTTGTTCAAAGCTTGACTATGGGTCTACAGTTCAATTAGGGACTCTGCCTTGAAGATGTTGGACCCTGTTCATCAACTGGTGCTTTGGCTCTGTACACAGGTATTCTGCACTTCACCAGTCTAGAGTCTGTATACTGAGTCCTAAAAACCTCCCCTTAATCTCAGATGTTTGTAACCTTCCTTGCTATATGTTACATAGCTTCGATCTTTACCATGGCATTCCTCCTGGGTTTGTGTCTTCCTTCCTCAGTGGGCTGTGCATTTTGGGAATAGGAGGTCTATAATTCTTCCATTTGGCCTTCGTATCCAGGTGCAGTTGACTAAATTGGGTCTGACATTGGATAATGCTGCTGAGTCTGATGATCAGTTTACCTATGATGTTGGACAGTGCAGTGCTGTCTGGATGAATAGTTTTTAGGGGCCATTGGCTTCTTTAATTTTCTCTGATTTATGGGCACTTTTTCCTTTTATGTTTTATAATATTGTACTTATTTTTGCCTTTTTAATGGTTGTTTGGTGCAGACAGCAATGTTGCTTTGCCCCAATAAACTCCAGACAACCAGTGCTTGATGACATTTCCTAGTTGTCTGGACTTTTGGTTTTATATTGTCCAACTAGCAGTCTACATGTTGGACCCAAAGTACAGAGGGTAATACTGGGAAGAAGATAAGCACATCGAAATCATGGACATGAACATGAAGGTAGCTTAGCATATCTCCAACAAGGACTTAATAGTATTGTCATATGATTTGGCCGATTACAGAGTTGGACATAAAGTATTAAGCACGGTGGTTCTATACGTGTTATTTCGGTTATTCAGTTATTTTGTTGAGTAATTATCTAAGGCTGTTACCTGAGCATTAACCTTTCTACTTACCATAGCTACTTATGAATGCAACAGGAAGTTGCTCAGTAATCTAGAAAGTAACTTTCTCGATAAATCAAACAATTAAACTTCTTACTTAACATTGATCTTCATCTCGAAAGAGATGAAGACTTAACCACAATAGAGAAATGGTGCATTGTTGATTGAGAATAATGTACATATTCTGGAGCAAGCAAAAATCAGGAGGAAGAAAGTAATAAAGATGAAGAATGAAGTATCTCAGATTGATACAAAAGAGAGTTGGGTAGTAATGATTCGGGGACTTGTGGAGTTAATAGATGAAACCATTTAATTTAATTAAAATCATCAGGATATACTAATAAGCACAATAAAAATGAATATACTAGGAAAATAAAATAACTATAGTATTATAATTATGCACATGTCTTATAATCTTAAAGTTTCTCAGTAAAAAAAAGTTACTGATAATAAATATCATCTGGCATTCAGATTATTTATGATTAAAAATTAAATATTCAGTTAAAAGAAATTAAAAATCAAATTATTATTTTTGGATCATTTTGTCCGAAGCAAGTTTATGAATGTATTAAATGTGTAGAAAAATATATCAAAATACTTATAGTTAATGGCTGTTTGAAAAGCAGTAACATGAAATGTTTGTTTCATTGTTTATTTGAATTATCCTAATACTTTTAGGTAGAGCAGTTGAAGCAAGTGGGGAAGAAAGATGAGAAGAAAAAAGAGGCAGAAGAACTAAACCAGATTTTCAAACCTGTAACAACACAGAAAGTAGAAAAAGGTATGAAATAGCTCTTTTAACTCTCACTACAGGCTCTGTCCCAGGGACTGACCTTGTAACCATTTTATGCTTGTTATCATTATCTTCATGAAATTTTGCAGATTATCAGTAAACATTAAAAAGCTTTCATACACAAAATATCAGATTTTTCATTAAGTTTTAAGATTTCTTAAGTTGTGATTTGCTCATGCAGTTTTTCATGTATATATATTTATTATATTTATTTTATTGACCTCTCAGCCATGTCTGACTAACATTACAGATGTTGCAATGACGTGGTGCATGTGCACTCATATTACCATACTCAATGATATAAAACTGGCAGCCTTTATAAAGTGACCTGTCTTGGCTTTGTTCTAGTGGACCAGTATTTTGCAAAATAGAGTCGCATTTTTGTTATAATACATTACATATGTATATATATATATATATATGTATATATTATTATTATTATTATTACTATTTACAAATAAGTTTTTGAATTTCAGTTATTTTTCTTAAAATATAGAACAGTAAATAAAGAAATATAGAAAATAATGATCTCTACCATTTACAGTTGTAAAGAAATTTGTACTTGCTTGTTCAACCTTGCATGCTAAACTTTGCTGAATTTAGCATGTGGAGGGTGTAAAACAAAAGTTTTTGTAGGTTGCATTTTGCATTTTGAAGTAACAAGAAATAATAACTTACTCTATTAATATCGCAGAATTCTACTGTAATTTATCAGGCTTACTAACTAAACTATATTTGGGTCTAAAATAATATTGTTTTTCGAACAACATTTTCATTTACCCCTTCTTTCCGAAATTGGAGACAAAAGAGATATTCTTGGGAAATTCTCACCATCAAGAGGCTGAGAAAACCACATGGCAGAAATTCTGAGCTTTTGATTGATTATAAACACATGATAGAGCAAAACGGTTGTATGTAAGCAAGTATTTCCAAAAATTCAAGAGGTAGGGGGGCCACTATTTTTGATTTGCTAAATATAGTGATATCTCAGTAAATACAAATAATAGAAGGTTCTTATTATATATTACAGCTTGTCAATATCGGTAATTTGGGTTTCTAATTTGTAAGAAACTATAGACTTTGTATTTGGACATCTCAAACATCTAATTTGAACCAAAGCTGCATTCAACATACTGCGTGAAATACAAAAATTAATATTTAGGAATTTTTCATATTTACTTTTAAATTAACTAATATATAATACAAAAAGTTGCAGTTTGATATCAGAATTATCGACATACATTCATAAAATAGTAGTTCAATAAAATTTTAGACATAAGTCTACAAATGTGATGACATGCCCTTTGATCCCTGACCATAGGAAAACCCATAGCGATAGGGTTAATGCTGAAATGTTCATGGAAAGTAAAATTGTTATTTTATGATCAGTGATAATAGAAGTGTTTGTCATTGTAACTCTGAAGAAACCTATATAATAAGTATACACTAGCAGATGTATAGTAAAATGAATCACTTGTTAACTTATAACAAATATGGAATTCCAATTTTATAATTGATATAAAGTTGTCCAGAAGAAGCAGTCTACACATAAAAATCTGTTTTCCTTTTGCCTTTACATATGTCCTCTTGTCTAATTCGTGTACAGTTTTTCCTATGTGAATCCACATCCAGGTTTTTAATCGTACACAAATTTAGAATATCATGTGATTCTTTCCAGAGCTGGTGCCGAATGAGAAATCAGAGGATTTTAGATACATTCTGTGTGTTTCACCTGTGTGATTTATAAATTTTATTAGTAGGTTTGATTTTGTACAGCTGTTTTTTTTAATATTATAGTGTCTTACAGTATAAGTAGGATAGTTACACAACAGTACAACTTTGAATAGTATATTTTTAGTAGTACATTTTGCTCTGATATTAAAGTGCATTAAAAGGATTCATGGTTGTTATTTTTTATCAGAAACAATTGTGTGTAATGAATTAGAAGAGAAACTAAACTCCAATATCAAAGTTGTTTTACTTCTAGTAAATATCAGAGCTTATTTTCTGCATAGTTGAGTTGGCTATTGAAACTGATGTTTTTTAGAATCAAGATTATACACTGTTCATTATAATTAACTTTGGAAGCTTCTTGGTTCTTCTTTAACTCACACACTTTCTATAGCATCCCACTCCTAAAGATACACATATAAAGATCTGTGGATAATATTGTTTGTAATCAACCTACAATTGCTCACATAAGTATTTGGTAAAGTGTAAAATATTTTTGTTTTTACCTATTACAATAAATAGCATGGAACAGAAGTTTCCTAACTCAACAATTAAGGAGAATCACAAAAGCATTTTATCACTGTTTATTTTATATCAGATTTTAAACAAAAAGAATTGTAATTAGTCAAGAGAAATTATATAATTACTAAGAACAAATCCATAGAAAATATTGAGCAGCCTTTATGTTTGAAGAAAACAAATTATTTTATTTAAAAACTGTAGCCACATACTGTTTATTTCAGAAGATTAAACTAACATGGCTAATAAAAAAGTATCTGCTGGTCATAGGATATCTTCGTGTAAGATATTAATAGTAGAGATGAGCTTGAGAATTCCAAACATTTCAAAACTGTGATATTCCACCAGTGAAGTGATAATTATAACAAAAACATACATCTAATACATTAAAGTGACAGATGAAAAAGTTGAGTGCTTGTTTGTGAGGGATGTGAAGCCACTGCAGAAAGCAAAAACTTAACACAAATGTAGAAGATGTTAGTGCTGAAACTGCTATGGAGGATGTACAAGGAAGGGCAAGTTGCAAAAAAGTAATCATTTATCTTTCAAAAATAAAGCAATGTTTGAATATGTACAGTGTACTGTTAATGAACTTCTAACCTGTTGGCATAAACTTTTATCCATCGATGAGACAAAAATGAACTTATTTTTTTTTACTCAGATGGAAAAGGTAAAAAAACCTGTATTTATCAAAATCTGGGAGAACATTCTGCTTCATGATCTGTCCCAACTGTAATATATGGAGGTGATAATTTTATTATTTAGTTCTATAGCTGCTGTTGGTTAGCTGTATTTCATAGATGACAGTATTGATAAATTTTATAATGGAAAATGATACTGCAAGGTAAGGAGCTGTGTAGACGTGGATGAATATTTCAGGAAAATAACCCTATTCATGCTTCTAATGTAATAGAGTTTGTTAAAAAATATCAAAATCTTGAGAGACTATTCCTGTTGTGTGATCTAAACCCAGTAGAATATGTGACAGGAGATGAGGATTAAGTCCAAGCAACCAAATAACAAGGATAAGTTGAAATACATGACTGAGGAAGGATGGGAGAGTTTGTGTGGGTGCTTAAAAACTTAAGTCATGGATAATACATAATTATAAATCTAGAGATATAAATCATGGAAAAACTGTGATGTAAAGATCTTAGTTTACGTTTTATTTTTCAATGTATTTTACTTATTAACTCTTTCACTATGAGCATCTTTTTTTGTGTATGTCATGAGTTTAGTAAATTTGGCATAAAAATGTAGCCATAATGCAAATTTTAATAATACATAAGTTTTAAGTTTGTAACTTTATATATGGAAATTTAAAAAATCCTGAATTTCCCCTAGTATGAGAATTGTGACATTTTCTCTTTAGGAATCCATTCTTCTCTAATTTATTTACCATCTTTCAAAGAAGTGTGAAATTTAGCATAAATTACTCATTATAATGTTGTCATCACTCAGGCAAAGCATAATTTTTATAGCCTTCAATTTTATTTAGTTACAGAGGCATCAAATAGAAATTCAGACCCTTCTTTCCATGCCCACTTGTTACTTCCTCTCTTTCAGAAATTTCCAATAATTCTTGCTGATGTTTAATACTATATTGTTTATAACCAACTTATAATGGCAGAAATAGTAGTTAGACACAGTTTGAAGGGCAATAAAACAATTTAAATACAGATAGATGTATATTGTTACTAGTTTAAAGCTATTTAGGATAAGCAAGTATAATTTCATGTTACAATTTGAAGTCATTCTAGAAAGAAAAAAAAAGATAATTTAGATTTCCTTCATTTTTTTTTCTGTAGTTATAGAGTTAATTCTATTTGTGCAACACCAGAAGTGAAAGAACTGAGTTTGTGACACATGTATCAATTTAAAGAAGCAATATAACATTATTCATGCAACACCAGTATAGAAAGACTCAGTGTTAAAGTGGATTAATATTGGAAAAGTGAGCAGAGGCTGCTTGTCCTCTATTTCTTTCATTGGTTTTCATTTTGATATCATTCATCTTCATAATTAAGTACTTTTTTTTATTTTCAGGAATTGACCCTAAATCTGTATTATGTGCCTTTTATAAGCAAGGTCAGTGTAAGAAAGGTGATAAGTGCAAGTTCTCCCATGATGTCAGCATTGAAAGGAAAAGTGAGAAGAAGAACATCTATTTCGACGTACGGGATGAAGGTAACACATGTAGTTTTCTTTATTTCTTCTCATAGGTTGTTGAGTTGGTGTAAATTTAATCTATACTTTATATGGTGGTATTGCAGTATTTGGAACAATATGACATGAAAGATCATAGAAAAAATTGCAAAATGCAATATGGAGTTGAGTGAAATTGTCTTTTAATGCTGGTTTTATTATTTAAAGAAATTATTTGAAGTACATAATATAATGGTGTATTTTACAAAATGGAACTGTTAATGTAATGCTGCATTATTTTGTGCTTCACTGCTACTGTTAAAATAAGCATTAATCCTTCAGCAAGGTATATTGTCAGTTCTGAATTTGCACTCATAATAGCTAATAGATGTCGCTATGTCTGAAACATTCACTTCAAATGTAAAACACGATAGTCATTTAACTTTCTTGAAACTATTTTTCTGGTAAACGTAAAATTAAATAAAAACGCTTCATAACATAGCTATTTACTGTGTTGTTACATAATATACCCATAGGCATAGGCTAAAAAGCCATGTTTTACTCGTACTTGTCTTAAAGGCTGCACAAATTGTTTGTGTGAAGGTTCACTGATCTTTTGTTCTTATATTACCTCATTTTGAAAAATAAAATAATTGCTATATGAAGAAAAGTTTGTATTCAAAATTTTGGTCAATATTAGTACTATTGTACAACCATGTTATTTACTTGTGTATGGAAGCACATTATGCTGATATAAGAAACTAATTGCAAATTTTGACAGAACATTGGTCTGTCTTCTCCATTCTGTTGAAACATGTATTATGATCCTCCAGAAATATACCACTTCATAATGTTTATAGATTGTTGTTTATTTACTATTGAGACATGTTATTTATTTTTTAATCTACTTTATTCCTACAAACATGCAAAGCACAGACCTAATGATGTGATATTCTATCCCAATTTGTCAAAAAGAAAATTTTACAATAAAATATACTTTGCATTATTTTGCTTATAAACTATGTATACCATTTAAAGATTATGTAAAATTGTTTGAAAAAGATCCCTCACTAACCTCTGAGCTTATGCTAGGTTGAATCTGTAGTAATTAGTTTTGAACTACCAGATGTTTTTGTAAAGTGAATATGCAAGTAAATCAATAAAATTAATTCATCCCCTTTATGTGGTTTACAAAAGAACAAGACCACGAAACAATTCAATTATTTGAAGTCATTATCAAAGATAGACCTATGATGTAATAACTAGTGCTCCAGATAAGGGGTGTACTGGCGTAATTCCCGACCAAAAATCGGCCATTTACATCCTTAAAAAATGTTTTACTACTGTGTAAAAACGACTATAGCTCCTGCCACTTTAACGGTAGTACAGTAATTAATGGGTGCATTCTTGTAGCTTTCTGTAGTTCTATACAAGATCTGCACATAGTAGAGCTGTAAAAGTCAGTGTTCTCTAACTGCCAGACGTTTTTATTGGTGCACTTGTGAACAATCCAAAAAAATAAAATAAAGTTGTAATATCATTCTTTGTGTTTATTATGACTACATCTGGTGATTTAACTTGTTAAATTAATCCTGTGCAAAATTTCACCTTTTGAAATAATAATATAATTCTTAATCAGATAAATTACTTTTTATTGCGAAATGCTACTACTGCTGACAGAATTCTGGAAGTGATTACTCCTTACAGAAATAAAATTATCTTGAACTGGTAATAACTGAAAGTTTAGAAGTTTACAGTTCATGAAAAGAAGAAGAAGAGGAGCTCGTGGCAAGGAGGTTATAAATAGAAAATAATCTCAGCTTTATTTATGGCTTTACTGGCTTTAGAAGTTTGGAAGTTGTAGAATGAAAAGTGTAGTTAGCTGAATTTAACAATTTTAACACTATCAACTTCAAAAATTCATTGTTTTTAAATTATTTAAATTAGAAATAACCTACATGTATGAACAAAAACAACAGATTTGCAGCTATGTTTGTATGTTTTATTTATTCATAAACTTTGTCATGTTCTGCCCATATGATATTCAACTTTCTGTGAAAGTTGAAATCGAACAATACTTGTAAAAAAATAGAGTTGTATTATTTAATACTAGCAAAACATTTATATTCTCTGTTATTCAAATAGCATAAAACTGAACTTTTCTCTGTGCTCTGTATAATGAAGTATCTAAAATATGTCAGTCTATTTTATATTTAAAGTAATAGACTTCAATGTCTCTTCTAGTACTAAAACACATTAATCCAAACCAAAACTACATATTGTTTCACAGAGTGCATATTAGTTCTGGCTTTGAATCATATTTTGATTAAAACAAATGATTTATTTATCAAACTAATAGCAAAAAAACTACTCCGTAGGAAATTATGAATATTTTCAGTAGTCTGTGGGAAATATGAAAATACACAAGATTTTTGAAGCAGAAACTACATTTGTAATGTTACCTGCTTATACTTTTTTCTTGGTCTTTCTTCAAACAAAATAATATCCCTGGTTTCTAGAATTGTCCATTACACTAGTTGTAAGTGAAATCTTAAATCTGGCAAGATGAGGTGTTTGTATCATTAAATATTCTGTATAGTTATCAACAGTTTACTTTCCTGTAAAATCTTAATCTTTGAATTAATTCACAGAAATAATTAAGAAATCAAAGGGGACAATGTTTATGTTTTTTTTAATAAAATGCCAAGACTTTTCCAATGGCTTTGCCATAAGCTGTCACTAATTTCAAGGACTGTATGCCCTTTTAAAACTTGAGGTACCACGATGGTGGAAAGGGTGAAATGGTTAACTTGTAACATTTCCTTTTATTGTTCCTTTAGTATATTACTTAGAACTAATATTTAAAGTAGTAGATATTAATGTTTATTTATATTTTTTTTGGAGAAAATAATCTTTCTTACTGCTTGCATTCAAATGTAATAGTTTTATGTACAACATAGTGTACTTTTTGGTTACAGATTCAATGGAAAATTGGGATGAAGCCAAGCTTAAAGAGGTTGTTGAGACAAAACACGGTGAGGCTGATAAAAAGAAACCACCAACAAACATAGTAAGTTGAAGCATAATGTAATTGTTTTCTAGAATATTAACCCTTTCGAGATGGGTCATGGGTAAAAGACCGTGTCAGCTCGTTTGTTGACTCGCATTAAAAATTTTATTGAACTACTATTTCATGAATTTATTTCAGGAAGTTTGGTATCAAACTGTGTATAATAATTCAAATTTTAGTATTATACATTACTCAATTTCTTAACTTAAAAGTATATATTAAAAAATGCAGATAAACATTGATTTTTGTGTATCACATGGTATGTTGAATGTAGCACTGCTTCATATTAGATGTTTGTGAAGTCAAAATACTAAGTCTAGTTTCGTACAAATTAGAAACTCAAATTACTGATATTGACAAGCTAGAATATAAAATAAGAATGTCTTATCTTTTCTATTTGCTAAGATATTGCTCATGTAATAAATCAAACACAGTGACACCCCAACCTCTCTCCATTTTTGGGAACGTTCCCTTATATACACTTACTTTATATATGATATGAATAACGAATAGCGGATTTCTCAGCCATTTTAAAATATAAAGTCATTATATCTTTCTTTCGATACAAGACGTCATAGAGGTAAGTCGAGTCTTTAGTCTCCTTGAAATTTCAATTTTTTTAGACCCAAATACAGCCTTGTTACTAAAATTGATAAATTATAATTGAGTTTTGTGGTATCGATATAATAATTCAAAATTTTGGGGTTATTCAAATGTATATATAAAACCTAAAAAAAATTATTGTATTTCGTATCCTCCACGTGCAAAATTTTTAAAGGCTTAGAAACCTATATCAAGCAGCAACAGAGTACAAAGGTTGTAACTAGAAGAGCTAATTGTTTGCTTTACTTCTTTATTTACTGTTCTATGTTTTAAGAAAAATATTTCTACATAGCAATCATCTACATACATATATAATGTATGATATTGAAATGTGACTATCTTACAAAATACTAGTCTACTAAAACACAGCCAAGACAGGTTACTTTGTAAAGACCAAAGGTCAGGTTTATGTTATTGGATATGGTAACATAAGTGCACGTGTGCTGTGTCATTGTAACTTCTGTATTGTTAGCCAGACACAGCTGAAAGGTCAATATAATAAATGTATAATGTTAAGAGATTTAGGCTAAACCTTTATGTTTTTGTGTTATATTTTGTGTTCATTCTAGAAAGAAAGAGGCATCATTTATATGTATTTCCTAATTTTTATGGTGGTTATGAGATCGGTCAAATCTACTGAACCCATACAGAGATTCATTACTGAAAATAACAGATAAAATATAAAGTTTTTTTCTTAAGAAACGTTTTATAACTATCTGGACATTATAAATATTTTGCATGTGAAATTTAAAAATTATATGATGCATAAAAGTATTTTTTATCTTAAAATGAAAATTACTTTGCATGATAGATAGGCAACACGCGAAAAGAAAAAAAAGGCATGAGAAAAACATTGCTTTACAAACCTTAAGACTTAATAAGAAAATTTTATATTTTGCACAAGAAAGCATTGTAATGTTTACTAATAACCTGCCAAATTTCATAAACATTCACTTACTAATTTAAACGTTATAGCATGAAAACTATAGCAAGCACAAAATGGTTACGAGGTCAGTCCCAGGGACCGAGCCCATGCTGAAAGAGTTAAATTTATTCTGACATGTTAGTTTTGGTGTTACTGCTAGGAAGCACAGCTACATAATGCAGGATTATTGTTTCTTAGCCTTGAAGAATACAGAAAATCTACAGAACTGGAATTGGGCATTCTAATGGTATAATTACTGAAGATCCAAATAGAAAAATCCACAACTCATAATTTTCTGGTACTGTTTGTATCCTAGTATGATTTCTCGCTCTTTCTGTTTACCTGTAATTTTACTTTCAATTATAAATGTATGATACGGATATGTTGCTTCCAGAGCTAAAGATAATTTATTTGAAAATTATCTGTCATATTTTAATTATAAGCCTAATTTAAAAAAATTATTCTTGGAAACTTGAAACTCTTGAAATTGCTGAAGCTTCTGTGGCGTATCATTGATTCTAAGCTGTTTCCAATTCTTTTAATCATAGAATCTGCTCATTTAAAGAAAGCAATTTCTTCTCAAGGTTGACTGAACTCATTTAATACTGGCTATGTTGAAACTCATGTTTCTTACTAGCTCTCGCAATTTTAAGCTAAATTAAAAAACCAGAAAGTGGGACTATATCAACTTTGTTGCTACTGCTCAGTTATTCTGGCATTGAAAACAAAAATTATAAGATTATTGCTTAAAATTATTAATGCCATTTAACTTATAATAATATAAGCTCATTTCAAACCTTTTGTGTTTTGCTTTCAAAACATGATTTGTCATGTGTATGTGTCTGTGGGACTAACATAAAAGTATTAACTACAGCAAAACATCGGAAGCAACTGAAGACAACTTTTGATTTAAGTCAGCAAAACACACATCACCTAAAAAAAATTGTAATATTTTTATATTATTAAAAGATCACTGATTGGAAGACCCCCCCCCCCCAAAAAAAATGTTTATCACTGAAGATATTTTTCTTAATATGTAAATTTAAGTTAACTCTCTGAGAAAGAAGTTAGTTGAATCAACTGACCTTGTAACCACTTTTGTACTCATTATAGTGTCCATGCTATAACTTTTAATACACTCAGTGTATCTTCACAAAATTTGGCAGACTTTTTAGTAAACATAACAAGCCTTTTGTACACAAAAAAATATATGATTGTTTAATGAAGTATTTTTTATTCAAGATTTGTCCATGAATATAGATAGTATTTCTACATACAAGTCCAATTGCTAAGTGATTTGCATGTTAAGATTAAAAATACTTTTCTTCATCTCCAAAAAATCTCAAATTTTACTTGTATAGTCTCTAAAACTTCATAAATAAATTTCAAACATTTCTTTTTCTTTCAGTAAAACCTTATATTTTATTTTCTCTACCCTAACTGTATATGAGGTTGGTCAATTTGACTGACCTTGTGACTACCAAAACAAAATTGAAATAAGTCTAAATTAACCTTTCTATTTTCTAGAATGACTTCAGATTGTAATATGAAACTACATTTGGTTATCCTAAATAACTTTTAAGTTCATAACAGTATATGTCAATTTACACTTAAATTTTATTGTTTTATTGCCCTTTGAACCTTGTCTAATTTCTATTTGCACCATTATAAGTTGTAAGTCACTCAGCAAATGTGCAGCTCATGATGTACTGTTTAATTACATTACACACAAACTACACGTAAATGTACCCCATGAGAACATTTTATTATATTATTATTTATTTCACTTAATCTAACCTGAACTAACATAAACAATTTCCTATTTTTACCTTTTAGTTACTTTTATAATAATAAATAAAGAATACACATGAAAAACAAGAAAAAGGTACTTACTTTTTTTTTTTTACTGTCGACTGTTGATGACACTTAACCCTACTTTTTTATACTAATGGTAGTACTTCACTAAATCATTTTTTATTTAATTAAATAATGCAACAAAGAACACAGAATAATAATGTGCAAAAAAGCAGACAATTTCCCATAACTATCACAGTTTTTCTGGTTTTTGTAACTATGCAACAAGAGCTGTTAGGAATTCAGTTAAGTTTGTCGATGTGTTTACCTTGGGAATAAATGTTGAACTGGAAGAGAAACTGACAATACTCTGTACAGAAAACAACATAATATAATATATCATTTGATAGATGAAAAGCTTGACTTTCTGTTGGTTATAAATGCTTTAGTATTGAATGTCAGAGAGAATTATTGTCAGTTTCTAAATGAGAGAATGTTATAGGTGGGGTCTTGTTTTCTATTTGATGGCTTTGTAATCAAATAAGATTGAAGACTATAAAAATTGTGTATTGCCTGAGCGATAACAATATTATAATAAGTACTTAATTTTAAATTTCATACTTCTTGGAGAGGGGGCAAATAAATTAAAGAGGGGATGCCTAGAGAGCAAATGTCACAGCTCTCACTCTAAGGGAAATTCTAGATTTTTTAAAAATATTGCCTTGTAAAAGTAAGACCTTAAAACTTGTATATTATTAAAATATGGATTATTAGCTGCATTTTTATGCTATATTTATTGGAATGCCGTGAAAAGAAAGTAGTTTAATTAAATTTTGAATGTAACTCACTAAAACTTCGTGACATGCGCAGATTTTTATGGTGAGAGGGTTAATGTTATATTTATTTTTTTTCTAATCAAATTTTTTTTAGGTATTAACTATACCTGCTGTTTAATAATGTCTCATGTACTCTATTAAAAATCTTATCCTTTGTGCTGTATACACTTGTTTGCACACTTATATAGGTTTTTTTTTTGCAGGTATAACCTTTTTTTTTTTTACTGCCAGTATGATTGTTAGTGCTCATATTATCAGACCTTCTGCAATTGTTTTTATACTTCTAGATTTTTTCACTTTAATTTAGTAATTCTTGGGGGTGGGGGGGGGGCGGTGGATCTTATGTTTTAATATTTGGGGATACATTTTACTTTTTCCCTGTATTTTGATTTTTCTATTAATACAAAAAAAATTACAGTACTTTAACTGACCTTTCAGAGTTATATTTTTTCATTTTATGATATTTCACCAATAGTTGAATATTCTGTGTAACTCTAAATACTCTTCCATCAAGTGTGTATGTTACAAGGAAGAGAGTGTACTAGCTTTAGGCGCCACATTCAGTATTACAGGGTTTTCAAGAGTTTGAAAGTCTATTTTGCTGGGGAAAATACCTCCTGTTGTTATTACAATTACTAAAACTATTAAATGCTAATATTACAGTTACCACAGTAACTTTCAAAACTTTTAAATGAAGTATTTGTTCTTGCTAATGTTGAATAGTGAATAATTTATATAACAAACTTGAATAGTATTTAAAGAAATATATTAAACAACAACTAAAACTTGAAACTTAATATTAAATATACCTCGGACTGATTTGTTATTAATTATTAAGTTATTGCTTATGTCAATCGTTAAGTTTGCCAATTGTCAATCAAAGGCTTTTACTTATACTTCTTAACAGTATATAAATATATACTGTGTTGTTGTTGTTGGGCTTAGGTTTCTTCTACAGTAGGTGTCTGTGACTTGTTGGTGATAAATTCAAAAATAAATGAACAGCAACCACTCTTATTGTTTTAAAATAATATATATATATATATATATAAATTTGGAACTGGTTAAAGGTACATACAACAAATTCTTTACACCATGGAGATTATATGCATATCATAAACACTATATATATAGTTCTTTTTTTATTGTTAAAAGTCCACTTAAGCCTATTCAGTTGCTTTAGAATTTCAGTTGACAAGCCGAACCTACCTTTCTCTATTTCTGTCGCACTAGTATTATTGTGTATATTTCACTTACAATTATAGCATGAGTTACCACAGTTGTATACTGCTTTTCCAGTAATTATCTGGTCCTTGTACTTCAGATATCGTCTATTCCTTTTGTCAAAGTGCACTTAGGCTGGTTCAACTACTTTACAACTTGCTTTGACAGAATAAAGTGTACTTCTTATTTCTTTTAAAACTGTTAGTTCTCCTCTAACATATTAATCTTTAGGCCTATATTAACTTAACCATTAGGCCTTTCACTTCTATGGCAGTTAACTTTACATTTAACTTTCCTTGGCCAAACTTCTACTTCCCATGACTTTACTTTCTCATCTGCTCTGTCTGCCTGCTGTTTCTGCTCATCTCACACCATTTATATGTTTATCACTTAATCATCTGCCAGTCATCTAGAAATCTCTAAATTCTCAACGTCAGAGATTAATGATATTGTACTTTAAGTTTTACTCAGTTAAAAGACTAACACCATCAAATTTTTACTTTAAGAGGCACTTATTAAAAATTATTAAAAAGTTACATACACAAATCATGAAAAGTTTTTGGAATCAAAAATGGTGTGGCATGATCTCCAATTTTATTACAATATTAATCTTACCAGTACTACTTAATAAAATATAAAACTATAACAAGTGTAAACCCTGTTGTTATGACAATAAAAACTATATAATGTAAAAAGAAAGTGAACTTCTGTTGACTGTAACTTCCTTTGTCTCCATCATATGAACTACTTGTGTTTTGATGACAAGCCTCTTGATTAGTTTAAAGCTAGTTTTAACACATGCTCAATTACCTAGTTTTGTCATAATACTAGATGTTTCCTTTAAAAGTTCATTTACTACTCTTTAAACAGCCAATAAATGTTTGTTTTCAAAACATATAGTTGGTAGAATGTTCTGTTAAGCTATAATGATATAAAAGACTATTTAGTGTAGTTATTATTGATTAATTTATTTTGTGAGTTAATATTTAATAAGTGTTCAGTTTTTATAACAAGAGAGTTAAAAACAGATAATTATTGGAAATCGTGTTTATAACTCATTGACGTTGAGACAATCGAATGTTGTGTGTAATGCACCAAACTCTGGAGAAAAGAATTCCCATTCTTTACTGTTATTTTATCAAAATAATATATTTCATGTACAAATCTAGAAATGTAACATTTATTTATCGAGTATATTTTGTGCAGAAATATATTAGTAAATTATAAAAGAACTATTAACTAAACTATTAAAAAGTGAAATAAAAAATCCAACTTTTTCAGCTCATTTCTAAAAAAAGCCGGACACCAAAATTATTCTCAAGAGCTTCCAAGAAGAACTTACAGATCTTTAAGGGGAAAAAAAAAGAGCCAACTGCAGAATCTAAATGTTGAATCTTAACCTAGAACATTTAATGGGAAGTTTTTTAACCACTTCTGTGATTTGTTCGAGATAACTTAGGCACCCTACATGTTTCAAAAAATACTTGCTTGAGTTAATTCGGGCAAACCATATCTCAGCATATTTTTAACTATTTGCCCTAATATATTTGCATGTTATCATGTATTTCAATCAGTGCTCACTTGATAGCATTGGAAATACTGTTTGTGCTGATCTCTATTGGATTTATTCTGAATTATGTATAAATATGGCTGGTTCTGGGATTGCCCTAATGGGGGAGACAAGTGCCATTACCGACATGCACTTCCACCTGGTTTTGTTCTCAATAAAGACAAGAAGAAAAACCAAGAGAAGAAAGATGATATTTCCCTTGAAGATCTTGTTGAAAAGGAGGTTTGTTTAAACTTTAAAAAAGATGTATATGATCAATTGTTTAACTGGATTTGTATGTGTGTGTGTGTGTGTGTATAAAGAACAGTGATAATGAAAATTATTTAAAATGAATATCTTATTATTCATAATGCAATAATTTGTTAACAACACACATTTAGTACCAGCTTGGGTAACTCTGTACAGGTGATTTAAATGTATTCAAAACTTCATCCCTCTTTTGATGTGTTCCTAAATTTATATGATATTTAGATCATTGATGTCGCTTAAGTTTGTCTGGTTTCAAAATTATTCTTTGCAAAGATAAAAAGTACATCAGCTGAGATAGAATTCTTTATAGTGGGACACTGCATTGTAGTTAGAGATATAAACAGGACAGAATGTTGGGCTGGTATATTTCTTATTCCTAAAGGGCCCAAAAAAGGAGAAATTATGCATGAAATGGATTGTGAGGGTTGGATGAGTGGACATCTTATCTGAATTGTTCTGTAGACAAGTTGTGGTTTTGACACACAAATTTCATACTTGTTTTGACTGTTTTGCTTGAGCTAGCTACACATCAAGAATTGTGTGTGTGTGCTATAAGGTATAATCAAGACAAAGATCTATAACTGAAGAAAGGTGCTGTTGAAAACATTTTTCTCGAGATTTACTACATGAAATGGACAACACCCCTGGTATTAAAAAGCAAGTCAGCTTCTGTAAAAAGAGAATAAAAGGGTATGTTGATTTTTATCGCTCTGAAAATTATTTTTTAACAATTGAGAATATCTTTGAAGAAAGTTCCTAAATGTGCAGCCATTATGAATTTCATACATATATATATATATATAAAACTTAATATGTGTAATAGATCTCTTGACTTGCATTATCGTGGTAAACACGATGTGTGAAATTACAGTGTGTGCATAAAATATCTAGTCAAGTAATACTCAAACTTATGTCTCTATTCCATGCAACTCAGTTATTAAAGCTAAGCTTAGCAAAAAATATATATATCTAATTTTCTCTTTTCCAGTCTTTCTTATTTTATTTTTATAATGTCATGGAAGATAATATGGTGCTTAAAAATTTCAGATACTACAAATATGCCTTGAGCGATGAAAGTCTAGAAGAAGTCAATTGTAACACTAGTGACGTCTTTAGTATATGATGGTTTTCAATGAAGATGATTAGGTAATCAGTATGATAAGTGCAATGAAAATTGTGGTACAACATCTTGCAGGTCAAGGTAGACATTTATATCAAGGTAACACTGTTATATCAAACTTAAATTAAACATTTTTACTATTAATAATATCATAATTTAAAGGAAAGTGGATATTTACTTTATGATTAGTAGATATAAACCTGTAAATACTGATATTTTTGATAATCTGTTACAAATATCAGCAAATTTTTAAATATAATTTAATTATAACAATTTTAGAACTTCCACAACTGTTGAAGGAGAATTACAAGAATAATGGTCAAATGTCATTATTACAATTAGTATTTAGTAGTGTATCATTGAAATACACAGGATAATTGGAGTTTTCTGACAGGAATTTCAGGTCAATAGAAACAACATAATGTGCTGTTGTGTATAGAAAAATATTTTTTATATACTAATAAGATTATTATAGAAAGCCATTTTAGCATGTTTGACCACTGTAAGGTAATTTCTTGTACATTATAGGTTAATTTGAATCTTTTTAGTGTTTTTTTCAGAAACAAACAAAATGGAATCTACTACTACTAGAAAAAGTAGAAAATCTGATCATTTCCTGATCATTCGTCATATTGCCAAATTCACAGTTTTGAGTGTTCATATTAGTTTTGAATACTCTGTGACATACTAAAAATATCTAAGCAGTGTAAATTGAGAAGAGTTGAAGTATGTAGGTCAAAGGTCAGAAAACTTGTGTGAACATAATGAATGAAAATGACATAGTATTGTAATATTATTATTATTATTGTCTTGTCTTTGTTTTATTACATGTTTTTTATTATTACAAATAATTCCAAGCAGATATATCTGTTGACCGGGTTAATGCCAAAGATGCAACATAATTTATCATTATCCTTAAAATAAAACTAAATAATTGTGTAATATAAAATATGAAAAAGAAGTAGATAAGTAAACGGAAAGCAAAAACAGATAAGCGTAATAATGAAATAATTCAAAGTGATTTTTATGATCCCATGGGTAACCCCAGATGAAGTGCAGTTGATTTGCTGAATTAAAGAACGTGTAACAAGAATAAAAATAAAGCTATATATGTTAACATATTTACTATACTTCTGTAGTAGATTCCTTTTTTTTCTTTTTTTACAGAAAATATTGTAAAAGGCAAAATATCCAAACAGAATCATAATCCACATAAAATTCTCATGTAAAATGTCTCTCTTTTTTTTTTGTTGTTGTTGTTTCTTTACATAAAATCCAGAGTCAGACATTTTCTTTCTTTTGACCTCACTGATCTGAAATTGGTGCCAAGAAATTCCAGTTTTTCTTTGTATTTCATTGAGACTCTACTTGAATACTAACTGAAATATATTTTGGTCAGTGGTCTTGCCAAGTTCTCCTGTACTTTGTTAACAATCTTGTAGTGCATGAGGTATAAGTAATTTTCAGTTACATTTTGTTTCAGCACTGTATAAAGATGGATATTGTTGTTACATCACCAGGCTGCAAGATCCTTGTGTTAAACATACTGTACCCACAATGACTGACTTCATGCTGTTACCTGACACAACTGCAATTCAGCATTCAGTGTGGTTTATTGACTTTGATCTGCAGACACTGGATTGTTAAGATCAGTTGGATATGTCCAGTGATGAGGATTGGGAACCACCAATAGACATTCCATGAGATGGTGAAGATGACATTAGAAAGGAATCATTGCATAATGAAAGAAAGACTGCACATTCAGTGCATTTTTCTTGCATTATATTCTGATTAATTATAAATTTGTTAACTAAATCTTGCTGTTCAGATGTATGTAACTGAGTAATATATGCAATAACTAAAACAGTGACAACAAAAGAATGTCTGAAACTATAAATACCTTTAATATAAATATTTAATACATCTTTTGATATAGAAAATGTAACCTATGTCACTGCTTAATTATATCATGTAAGTGATCTTATTGAAGAGTCTCTTGACGTATGGGAAGTATGTACAAGTGCCAATACAAGCACATGATGGGAATACTCCAGCTTTTCCATTATCATATGCCAACAAAACTGTTGTTGAAACTACACTTTCAAGATACAAAATAGGATTCAAAATATTTTAATACTAGAAATCTCTTTGGCACTTGACCCCTGCATATGATTTGGATGGGAAAGCACAAACAGCCTAGGAGGGAATGACTTTTCTGTTCTTTCAAAACAATGCCACACTCACCTTGTAAAGTGTCGGTGGGCAATATAACATCTGAAAAGTAAAATTTTCAAAATTAGTCATTAAGTCCTTGTTAATATTTTATTGTTAAAGATCAGTTTGTTAATATGATTGCTGAGGAATGATTTATTAATGTGAAATTAAACTGTTGAAAAAGTTTTTGTGTTGTATCTTTTGTTGACTTGAAGATTGACAAAAAAAAACGGTGAATTTATAAATAAGTACAGAAAAATCAAAATGGGAACTAAGGGAATCTTGCTGCTGAACTGATTATTCATCACCAGTTGGGCCACTGAAGTCCTGGTGCTCGTGAGAGACCAAATCCAATACATGTATTACATGATAATTGATCCAACAATTGTCATGTTCTGTGATATGTTCTTTTGTTTCGTTCTCTCTCTTCACAAATATTAAGACTGACACAGCATTTGGTTTGAGATGTCACTGGGGAAACACCTAGAAAAATAATAGATAATAAACTTGGACTAGAATATGAAAATTGATATTCATGTCTTGTCCATTTGTTGGCATTATAAATAATTGATATAAGGATTTCAGATCAGTAACTTTTGTTTTTATAAAGGTTCTAACGATGCTTGGATTACACAAAGATAAATTTCTTTATGAAAAGAAAAATTATTTTGCACATTCGAAGTTGTTGTATCAATTATTTTTAATAATAATAAACATGAATTTAAAATTATTTAACATCTTGCAATGCAGTATACCGTTATGCAAGAAACATAAAATTGTATGTCAAAAACATTAATGTGACTTACATAATTAATTTTTATTATATATCTCTATTTACCAAACTTAGTAAATTTTCAAATAAAATGATCATGCGTGTATATTTGGGCTTATGCACTATAATTGATCCTGTTTCATCTTATAACTTACCAAATTTTATTCAGCTACAAAATCTTATTTTTACTTGAAGGAAAGTAAAAAAGATTAGACTCCATTAGTTGTCCAAAATCAGTTACCATTTGCTCAGATTTTCATTTTCTTCATTTTAATCACCTTTTCTAGGTTGATTCTGACTCATTTCCATTCCTTAGTAGAATGGTATTTACCATTGGCTCAAATTGTAATCATCATTGATTTGTTATTATATATACAACCTCTTGAAACATATATATGAATATGGTTCAATATGGCAGGTTTCTCAATGAACTAAAATGGCATCACAGTGTTCATTCCTATCAGATTTGATGTCAGAATAAAGGAATATCACTCTACTGGCATTATTTGTCATTTTTACAGGTGATTACCATTTTATCTGTGCTATTTGAAAATTTTGGATGCTATTTTTGATATGGAGAAATACTGTTAAATCAGAAAAACAAAGGAAAAATATAAAACAAATTTGATCGCTGGTGTCCTTTAAATATATACTTCAAAATAGAAGAACTCGAAAACCATTGTGAGCTTACAGCTATGTTTATAACCTCCTGTAAAAGTTTTGTATGTTTAAATAAATGTTGTAAATTAACTTCAAACTCTGTGGAATGTGAGATTTGCTCTATTCAAAGGAGTAATGTATAAAATAATTGCATGTTTGTTTTTTTATGTGGAGAAAAAATGTATATACACCATTAAGTTTTCCACAATGAAAAGTTTATGGAATTTTTTGTAGAAATACTCTATTTTTAAAGGATTACCTGATCAAACTTTTAAAGTTTGGAAGATAGAGATTTTAACTTTCAGACATTAGTGTAATTTGCATAAAATCACATTGTAGATTGTTTCTCAAAAAAAAAAAGCTTCTTCATAAATCGTGCATGTTTTGAACTTTAAGGAAAAGATTTGTTCAGATACAATTTTATGATTATTAAGGTGTATTACATTACTAAACAGTAAAAATACTTTTGTTTTTCTTGAGCATTTTTGTGATTGATGGATTATAGTTGTTTTAGATTAAATTAAAATGAACCAACCCACCTACCTTTGGAGAAAACATGATTAGTATTTGACCCGAGTGTGTGTGTGTGTGTGTTTTTATGAAAGGAAAAAATAAACTTGTATGTTTGTTTTACAGGGATTTCATTTAAGTATTTCAACTAGTTTTACAGTTATTTCTCTGTGTGTAAATTGTTCAAAAAAGTTGCAGTTCAATATAGTTTCCATCAAGGGTGGGAACATTTTATAAACTAATGGTATCCAAGGTTAAAATAAACAAACTTAAAAGCAAACATCCACAAAAATCCAAATAATTGAGTGGAATTAGATAAATAAGTTGATTCATACATGCAGAAAAAGATTTTCCTAAAAGTGCATTTAATTCTGACATACAGCATGGGGTGCTGTATGTATATGTGCACACATACATCTTCATGTTTTTAAAGAGCTTCCAGATTAAGCTTGAAAAACTGAAATACAAGAAATTTCACAATGTATTTAACTGTAGGCTATTAAATGTACGTCAAAATGCATACAGTGACCAACCAGTATATTTATGTGTTTGTCATTTTTCTTAATATTTGTGATTAGTTTCACAAGATTTTCCAGTACCAAATGAACTTTTCAAAACAGTTAAGACATATAGTTTACAATATTTAGCTAAGACAAGGCTATATTGCTATTATTAAAACAAATGTCAATGGCATATCTTTGACTTCATTTTGCCCACAAGGGCACGAGCGGTACGTTTGTGGACTTGCAGTGCTAGAAACCGGATTTCAATACCGTGGTGGACAGAGCACAGATAGCCCAATGTGTAGCTTTATGCTTAATTACATACAAACAAAGACTTCATTTTATGTAAAACAACTGTCAGATGACTAGATATATAATTTGATATGCAACTGTTTGATATTGGAGTTTAAGACAACAAATATTCATTTGCTACTACAGATTTTGTAGCCCAAAAAATCATAAATTTTTATTAATAAGTCGTATGATTTCCTGGGATACTATTTGTACATGCCATTTGTATTCAAATCTGATGAGTATGTTGGCTTGTCCATATGCTTGATATGATACCTTCTTCAGGAATTTATCTATTTGAAGAAACTTTTGACAAACTGCACTTCTAGCAACATTAATGGTTGTGAGACTGTATTGTATGGTGTTTGTAGTGCCATCTATCTGTAGACCAGCATGTCATCACTGCCACATGCATGTTTTTTCTATGTGAAATTTGAATTTGATGTGGTCCTGATCACTCGCAGATTTCGTATCTGGCTGCAGTGTGAACGAGTGATTTGTTTATGAACAAGATATTTATCAACATGTTTAACCAATTCACATGTCCTTGGGCACTGCAGAATATGGACTGTTTGTTTGTGATGGGTTAGAAGAATGTTCATAGTTGGTCAACTGGCATAAATGCCAGTCGTATGGAGCCTGTTTCTGATCACTTGCATACTAACATCATTCAGTTGGGAGCCAAGATCTACCAATTGAGTCCATTTTTCACATTGTAAGACTGTCATAATTAGAATATTAAATGTTCCTAAATTGTTTGTGTGGTGGTATATTAAAGATTAAGAAGATTTTATTATTATTGTGCAAAACTTTGATTTTATTTATAAGAACATTTTTGAGTTTCATGATTGATAAGTGTCCAGGTTTCTGTTTTGAAGGGAATAATATTTTTTAAATATTTATATGATTTCTTTATTTGTGGTATGAAAATTTTGTTAAAGTTTGGACTTTTGTAATAGAAGTTACATAATATATTCACTGTGCTCATAAAATTTCATCATTTTATTTTATACATTTCTAATAATTACATTAGTCTTTGTAATCTATAAAATCATACCATTGTATTGTAATTTTTCAAAAATGATTTATTTTTAATCTGTAAGCTTACATTATACATCAAAACCTGTATATTTTAAAACGGTATTTTTTGAATTTTTTAAATTACTATAACTTTATTCTGTGATATTATAAAATCACTACTTTGTAGATTCTAGTACACTTACAATATCCTCTGTTTACTTCCAGAGAGCTGCTCTAGGGTCTAACCTTTGCAAGATTACATTTGAAACATTTTTGGCTTGGAAAAAGAAAAAGGTTTGACTGTTGTTTTGTTTTTCTGTTTAATACCATCTTTTATTGCTGCCATAAGAATATTCAAGTATATTCAAGAATATTCAACTCCCATGTAAATGCCAGCTTGAATCTAGTTGAATTATGTAAAATGTGATATGTTCACCATAATTCATAAAGTTGATTTCTTAAATAACACGTACGTGGTTTGATATCTGCATAAAGCATTGGTAACAATAACTATGAAACTAGAAACTATTCTTGGAAAATTCTTTGTCTTCTTCAGGTAGTAGTAAAGTTGAATTTGTATATTCAATAACATAGGCCTGTGAATTGAAACTTCATAAAAGTTGTTTTGGTTTTAATAATGGATCTTCCATAATTCAGCTATGTGTATTTTGAAAATAATATTCATTTTTTTTTTCTATCGTGTAAGAATTTTTTACAAATCAGGAATAAAAAACTCTCACTTAGATCAAATTATTATTTTGTTTACCACACTGAACATGTTTTATTATTATTATGTTTGTTAACAAGAATACAAAAAAACAAGAAAAGGGAAGAACATTGATGTAAAACAAATATGCATCCTCATTGATCTAGATTTTTCTTGTGAAATCTATGTCTTTTAGTCTCAAAACAACGTGTTGTGGTCTTTCTTTTATGTATTGCGGCATGATATTTTGTGAAAAATGTGTATATGATGGAGAAAAATGGATATTATTTTCGGATTCAGTGTACAGGAATTACTGTACAACATGTAAAAATATCAAAGCAATAAAATCATCACAGGCCTGTGTAATCAATAGAATTCCTATCAGTTAACTATCATGAAAACTTTAACAGAAGAGCTTTACAATCCAGCTTGAGTTCCAGGATTATCTTGTGAGTTAAGTTTCTCTACATTATCATAAACTTTAAAACAGTGGTTCCAAACTTTTACCCAACCAACTTCCAGCCATATGCAATCCACAATTTCAAGGACTACTTTGTACAACAGTAACTTTTTTAAAGTACTTTTAAATTACATTGTAAATCAATATACAGGGTGTCTCAGAAGTCTGGACCCATAGAGAAAAATACACAATTTATTATTAATTTATTTATTATTCAAATTGCATGCCATTAACAGACATACACATATCAGTTCTTGGTATACTGTGACATCAGGGTAGTTTCTTTCCAGAAATATGTACAACTGACATTAGAAATGTTTTTGTTTAACTTCAAGAATATAATGTCTATTTTCCCTATGGGTCCAGACTTCTGGGACACCCTGTATATCAGTAACTCTCCAATTTGGAGATACATGTCTTTTATAGATTCCAAATTCCTTTTGGGGGACAGCTGATAATTTTACAGTAAAATTGAAACTCTGTTGAATATAGAGTGTAATGAGAGTTTGTATGAAAAGCTAAGAAGTTTCTGCTACTGTTTCGTGGACAGACTAATGTAAAACATGTTTTCATCTGAAAATAAACATGCAAGAGAAATGTCTAGTGACACGATATGTCATTCATGATAAAGTACTACCTGCTTGTGAATTTTAAAAGTAGAAATTTACCAACCAGCACTAAAGTTAGCTTACTTGTAGGGTCAGAAGAAAGAAGAATAGAAACTAAGAAATATATACTATGTAGTTGAAGGATTAAAAAAGAAGATTTTGCAGAGAAGACCAAAAACATAAACTCTCTTACATTTTTAAATAAATAACATGATAAAATTATTAGTCTGGAAAGACAAATGAAAGAACTGGTTTAAGTTACAAATATTGAAGGATAATATAAGAAAGTTATTTTATCTGACTAATAACGAATATATCTAATTTCTCAGAGTATGATTTTATTTTCAGAAGATCTTTAACTCTTTTAAACCCATAATTTTTTGCGAGTTCTGCCGGAATTATGTTAATGATGTCCTAATGATTATCACCATACTTTACAAAGTTTCCAGTTTATTTATAAAAAAAAGGGATAATAACATGGTTTGGATTAGTTTGAAGCCAAAGAGACATAAATGTTATCAAATGCTGTTGCCGTTTAATGGGTAAATTGGGATTTTTGGCTGAACACTGGCAGCATCCGCTCAGGTTTAGAGTTGAAAGTGAGATTTGTAACAGACAAGCCTTTGTCGCTTTTGTTTCTCATTAGGAGTATTTAAGGTGTTAGGTTTTAATAATATATGATGTTAAAACTTTTAAATATGGATACTGGTTCATTAAACTTCTTGGGGTATTTTATAAAATTTAATACTACCAAATAATGCTTGCAAGCCATATTTTGTTTAATTGTTATGTTTTGTTTAGTTATTTTTATAAGGATGTAGTATATTAAGTGTATAATTACTGAATCTATGAACAGTATATTTTAGTTGTAAGTTATAGATACTTATTCTAGGGAGGCTCAGACTGTGGAAAAATTAATGTTACAAGAATTTGATGTATTATTAGATGATATTTTTTTAATTGCTGAACCACTAGATTACATTTTTATAGTAGCATCACTAACCATAATAGAACTACAGATGATAAAGCTTTGGTTAAAGAACATCAAGCATAAAAAAAATGAAATAAGTCAAGTCTACATATCCTGTCACTACTTCATCAGTCTTTGAAAACATTTAAAAAATACAAAGCCAAAGTAAATTGCATGTTGAAACAAGTTAGTTTATTACCATAAAACTTTAGAAGAACATGTATCTCAAGTGAGAAAAACTTGATATAAATAGAAATCTTGATTGCTACTTTTTTTTTGTAGCACCACTCTGATACATCATATGTATCATAAAATGTATATAATGAGACTAAATTAAGTTCCATGCTAATTATTTTTGCTACTACATTAAACTAGCTATGTCTGGGGAGGTTTCATAACATACATTAATGTAACTACGCCATAGATTAATGTATGTAATATTAGGATGTATTTTTTTGCAGCATACTGTTAAATGATTTTTGTTTTGTTTTTCCTTAGTAATATCTTTTAGAGTTTTTTAAGTTTTTTCTTCACAAGTAGCTTTTAAGTATCAACTTATTTTTTTTTTTTTTCTTTTTCAGATTCAAGATAAGAAGGAAAAAGCTCAGGTGGAACAGGACAGGAAAAAAGCAGAATTTAAAGCTGGTCATCACATTGGTGTAAGTTATATCACATTCATGTTAATCTCTCTTAATTACCATCCTCATGTTAGTATTACTTTTTATTCTAAAACTGATCTTTACGTGGTCTATGTTATTACACTGCACAAAATATTTGGAAGATAATTGACAAGGAAAACTATGCTTATAAATGACATCATTCACTCCCAGTTTATTTTTATGAAAAGCAAGTAATTAATCATTTAGCTAAAAAATGAACATAAACAAGAGATGGGTTTTGTACTTCTCTCCAGTTCATGAAATTTCTCTTCAATATAGAGTATGGTATTGGGATATTTTTATATTTTATATTTCATACATTTTTAGGGGGATTGAAGTCTGGCGAGCATTTCATTTAGTCAATCTCTGTTTTTTTCTTCTTTGAACAATGTGTCAATTAGTTTAGTATTATGATGGACTGAAGTCGGAGCCGGGTTGTAGGATATGGTCTCTATAATCTTGAGGCATTAATATTAATATTGAACAGGATGTAGAGGTCAATACTTTCATTTATGCTTATTCCTGGCTGCGATCATGGTATTTCGTTGTTCCAGTGGACATGTTCTCGATTCTGTCTTGCATCCTACTGTGAGCAGAGCAGAATGTCCGTACTTTTGTCTGTTAGTAGAACGTGTTGAAGTTCAACAAAATACGAAGTTGTGATATTTCAAACCACAGTCCAAAATTAAGGACTATTAAATTCATATTGGAGAAGTTGTTTACAAAACTTCCTTGTAAACAACATTTTCAACATTTGTACCTACAGGGACATAAATTTTTAACTTATCAAATGACTATACCCTGGATAGAGCTACTTAGAGCTATCCATGAGATAGACAGACATCCATTTTCTCAAATAGATTATGGTAAACTTAAAATGCTGCCAGCCCTGTTAATGTTTGTAGTGATAGATTGTTAAACACTTGTATGGAATGTATGGAATCATTAAAGACAATATAATTACTTTTAAACATCTTAGTATAAAAAGTTAGACACTTGATGCAATTTCAGGCTAAATCTTTTGATGCTGTTTAAAAAGTACTTACATTGGTAAGAAAAAATTGCTGAAAAGTCAAAACTTTGATCTCATATTATACATGCATAAAAACTATGCTGCTTTCTGTGGGTAACAAAATGCTCCTTTGTACATTTGCCATTGAGGGATAAACTCAGGTTTTATCCTCTGCAGTTTAATACTGCATTTCTATCTGTGAAATGTAAGTAGTCATGATCTATCACAGTTTATCTATATATGTATTTCAACTGAATAACAGATAGCATTTAAAAAAAAAACTTCACCTTTTTTTTACACAAATTCTAACATGATCCAGTTACTTATAAATGAATTCCAACTATGTCCAGACTTAGTATCTGGTATGGTAGGTACTCATGATGTGCTTAAGTGTTTTTTATAAGAATCTTTGTCCTCAAGGGATCATTTTATGTGAAGTACTAAAACATATGAAAAATAGAATGGAGTGAGCTTAAGTTCAAGGTTTGAACTTACCACAGTTAACACGTTCATGTATTATTGTATGATATGATTAGAAAACTATCCATGATGCTGTTTGAGAGACATGATTGGCCAAATGGCATAATCGGGAAGGTTTTCTCTAGATGTTTGATAGTAAAAACATTTGTGAACTGTATGATCTTTAAAGTCTTTTCTTTATAATACATTTGTTTGTGACACTGTCTTTGTTTTCAAAAAAGCCTAATTTTGGTGAACTCTGTGAAATAGTAGTAGGTTTACAGTTGAGTTACATTAAAAATATGTGTAATCTTTTTGGGGTACCCACATTCTCTGACTTGCATTTCGAGTATGGCAGTTTTGATCAGTGAAATTAAAAAAAAAACTTCAGAATTCTGTTATATCCTGTTTATCTGCAGTTATATGTTTAATACATTCAAAAATTAATAAAGTTTTTACTAGAATTATTTTTCCCATAACTGCTTCGCTAAAGTTATTTGGTTTTTTAACTGAATTTTCTTCTTCAGTTATGAGTTAATGTTTTGAAAAAATAATTTTAAGCTTCAACCCTGCATGTAGAGAACTATATTGGGATAATCACCTAGTGTTTTTCACTGTATATCGAGAAACATTCTACATGTGGAATAAGAATAGCTTGAGTTTAATATTTTACTTATTAACAATGTGTGATAAAGCAGTGTATTCTGAGTATCTTCCATTATTGTGATGGCCAGTTTTTAATATATTTTAATTTAAGACAGTCTTCTCATTAAAATGTTGAATTCTGAACTGAATTAGTCTGCAAATGTGTCCAACTGAATAGAGGAGTGTTATTCTTCAATTAATATTTATACTAAATAGTATTATATTATTATTAAACTTCTAAACTTTTGGATAAAATGATCAGAATCTTGTTCTAGGCATGGTTATTTTTATGTAAAAGTATTTTGTATATATTTCAGTACATCTATTTTATGTTTATGTGTAGGTTTTTGGATTTACATAATTGTTATTTTTCAAAGCTAGTGATTGTAATGCTATTTTTACAATTTTAAGCTGTGTTTTATGTGTAACAAAGAGTTCTGACATTCTTGAATCATTTAAACAGCTTAGTGGTCGAGAAATGTTTACATTCAATCCAGAATTAGCTCTGGAAGTCCAGATGGATGAAGATGAGGCTGCTTATGACCTTCTGCCTCGAGAAGACGATGAAGTAGGTTTAATCTGATGTCATATTTTAGTAAATCTTTGAATTTTTTTGTGTGAGTTTAGTAGTTTTCACAAAGAAACATAAAGAACTTAAGATACTTGTAGTAATCAAAAATTATGATGTAGGTAAAAAATAACTTTACCTTCTTATGTAACATTTGTAACCAGTCTTATTACCTTTCATTAACAAGATTTTTTTTTTTTTTTGATAGTAGATAACTTTGCTGGTTAGCTATTTATTAATTAGTTTCAACTGTTTCACTCATTGTTAAAATCAAGTTTAACCATCATTATAAGAGACCTCAGATAATGAAATGATGCCACATTGACATTAGGCTCAATTATTGTTGGAATAGTTCCTTTTCAATTACTAATTAGCCTTGAAAATTTTGTGATTTGCCAAGAAGAATTAAGAAACATGATCCACAAGTTGTTAGAAAAGAAAACTTTGTGAAGTAAACATAAACATAGAAGAAATAATAAAGTGCAGTGTTAGGAGTTGTGTCTTAAGTTTTCAAGTAAGAAGAGCAACCTTTTTCCAGCTTGATTTTGTTTCTTTGTTTTTGACTATTACAATTGTGAAGAATTATAAATGGAAAACCTTAAACCTTTTAGTTTATTTTTGAGCTTAGGCCTGGCATGGCCAGGTGGTTAAGGAACTTGACTCACAATTTGCGGGCTCGAATCCCCCTCACACCAAGCATGCTTCCCATTTCAGCTGTGGGGGTGTTATAATATGACAGTCAATCCCACTATTCATTGGTAAAAGAGTAGCTCAAGAGTTGGTGGTGAATGGTGATGACTAACTGCCTTCCCTCTAGTCATTCACTACTAAATTAGGGACAGCTAGTGCAGATAGCCCTTGAGTAGCTTTGCGCGAAATTAAAAACCAAAACAAGTTTTTTTGGGCTTAGGCTGTAGGAAATTCTCTAATAAAACGGAATTTTTGAAGCTGAAAAAATAGCATTATAAATTTAAGATACATTGGTTAAATTTTTTGGAGGGTAAATGCCTATTAACTATTGGAAAAAATGTTGTAGAAGGATTTTTTTAAATTGAAAATTGCTGGCTAATGAGTTGGGTGTTTTATTGTAAAATTTTTAGTTTCTGTTTATGAGCATTAAATGGGTTTGTTAAGTGTTATCATGTAGTACCTCAGCTAAAGAAGGGTTTATTCAGTAAGAATTGTCATAACAAATTTCAATGATCCTGCATTTATTATTGTTTTTAATTAAAATATTATCCCATTATAAATGCAAAGATTTTTCCACAGATTATCATCTGTGTATCAAAAACATTTTCAACTCTGGTATATCAAGTACATATGGATTTATATGTTAAAATAGCATCCTTTTGATTTTTGAATTTTGGCAGTGATAATGAAAAATTAGATATATTTTTTTATTGTATTCAAAATTACTACATTTTCAATAGTACATGTAAAATCATAAAGCTTGATTTTTTTCAAACTTGTTACAGAACTCTGAATTGTATGTAGAAATAACAGCTGAAGCCCTTAGCCTTCAAGCACAACAGTTTCAGAATGTGGGAACAACTTCTCCAAATAACTTTCATGAAGTGAACAGAAGAAAAGAAAGATTAGATGGTATGGTATTTTGGTTACAACTTGACAGAGTATGTGTTACATTAAGACCTAACTTAAATATCTATAACTGTAAGATTTATTAGTTTAAACATAGTTTGCTTTAGAGATTTGTACTTAAAACTTTTTATTGTTCAGAAGATTCTTATCCTTCAAATTTACTACAAAATATACATTATTTTATAGAGTTGCTGTTAAAACTTACCACAAGGTATTAGATATGATAGCTGTATTTAAAACCTAACACAAGTAATTATTGCATTAGTGGTTTGGGTGACATTTATTATGCAGAAGTGAGAGTTTTCCATTGAACTATGGTTTTTACATTTGTAAAAAATTACATGTTATGTTTGTTAACCCCTTCTATGATTTGCCTCAGTTAAGTCAGGCAAACTATTTCTCACCATATTTTTAATTATTTGCTTAAATTTATTTTGCATGTTATCTTGTATTAGAGTAAGCTTTTAAAACTAAAAAAAAAAAAAAAACTACGCATGAAAAGGGTTAAATGTAAATAATCATTAACTTCTTTTTATCCAGAAAACTACATAAAGTATAAAATACTTTGAATATAATAAGTTAGGTTTAAGTAAAAGCCAAATAAATACAGAAAAAATTGTTTAAATCTCTGTGTCCATTTAAAAAAAAAGTCTCATCAAAACACATTATATGAGTAGAGATGGGCCTAGGCAAAATATCGGCATGTGCAAACTTTGTATGTGGCACCCCTGCCCCATGTAAAATTGACAAGAACTGCTAATTGAAATGTCGATTTTGGTATTGTATGTGAGTGTAAAAAGACACCAGTAGAAATGAACCATGAAAATACTGTGCCAAGTATAAGGGCACAAAGCAATGTTAACATTATCAACATTTTTCTCATACAATGTGATCATTACATTTTTGTGGTTCAGTATAATGAAACTTTTATAGTGGATTTCAGAACATCTTTCTGTTGCAAAACTGTGTTCACTGCAACCTGTACTTTCATTGTGGTTTAGAATGTGTAGTGTATCACGTGTTGGCGTAAGACATTACCTTGTCTTCTATCCAGATGTTGCAGTCTCATACAGCAGCGTTATTAGGAGGTTTTTAGACTTAGTTGCAATAAAGCTTTCACTTAAATATTTCTCATTGGTCAAATATATTGATGTTTGTATATGTGTGTTGGTTCCCTTGTTTGAGAGTTCTGTGATTTATGGGATTCTTCTCACTTTTTTAAATTTCTGATGAAATGTTATACAAATGCAGGCATAATGATGACGATTAGTTTGAGGGAGCAAGAGTCCACTAATTGTGTTAACTTAACATTTAGGAGAAGAAGAAAAGCTTCCTGAAGCAGTGGGTGGAGAAGATAATATTGCAGCCACAATAGGTGAAGAAGCTATTCCAATTGATGAAAATCTTTTTGATGAAGATGATGAAGATCTCGAAGAACTGGAAGAAGATCTAGAAAGGTTGGATGTGGAATAACATGTGTACTAAGTAGGATCCTAGTAAAGTTATAAAGACCAAAATCTGGCTATTTTGTCCAAGTCAAAAGCATCCAAGACATCACTTATTGACTTAATTCCAGAAGTATTGATATTTTACCAAAAGCTTTTTATTTATTTCACGAGTAAATACCTGTTTTTTAATTTCTTGCCACAACTGACATATGTTTTTCAAACTCAGGTATTTTCTTACAAAGTTGCAACAAACAATATTATACTGATCTTGGCATTGCAGCTATGTCTTGTTATTCCTAATAAGTTTTTAGATTATTTCAGATACTTCAATGCTCAACACACTGTCTGATAATGTCTATAAAATGAAAATCACAATATTGTCTAAAAACAGACATACTAGTATATACAATATGATCACAGTTTTGTAGAGGAAATATCACACTATAACCAGGAGTGAGTGTAACATGTATGAAAGATGATGACAAACTAATTCTTTGCATCATACATGGAGCACTATAAATTAATATAAATTACTCATGCTTACTCCTGATCAGGAACAGATTTAGTATCTATGAAAAATTTGAGAAAGAATTCTAACACGAAAAGCTTGATGGATTGAAGATAAGATAACTCCCTCCCCCCATTCCCACTCCGCACACAACCAGTCAAAGGTACTACATTTAAGAAACAAATCAAGCATCATAAACTGTATACAGAGATCTACTATAATACAATCAACGAAGGAGTGCTATGTTTCCTAGCACTACTATTACTGAGAGAGGAGGAGGAGAGAGTAGGAGATGGCAACATTGATGAAAAGAAGAATGAGAACTGACTTGAAAATAGGATGTATTATTCTGAACATCTTCCACACACACACACCCATTGGTGTTCCACAATGAGTCTTTAAACATTCATTTGCATTATTGAACACCTGATAATAAAATTATCTATACAGATCTTTGGATGAATCACGTTCAAGTCAAATCTTCATCATTGAGTCATGGTAAATACAGAGAGATCTGGTGTATTCATTTTCGCCCTTAACTTCATCCCAAACTGATTAAGGGTTATAAGGTGGATCATTGTAGAAAATCATGTTAAAACATTTTTTTTTAACATTGCATTCAGTGTCATACTGATATTTGATGGCATCCTGTGCAAAATATAGATTTTGGCATTCCCCAACCCAACCCATTAGTTTGCTTTCTTAGGCAATCAGTGTCCCCTCCTTTCAAGTTGGCACCCTTCACAGTCCTGATTACATTGACAGAATTGATACAGCAATGTATCTTTATAAGGAGACACAGATGGAAATAGGTATCAGAAGGTTTAACACTTATTAAAAAATGCTACCATTTGCTCCTGCATTAGATTTTTTTCATTAACTGCCCATTTTCTCAGAAATGGCTGCAAGTTACAATAACTGGATAATACAGATGGCAGAGACCAAAATCATAATATCCATCTAATCTGGTACCACGATTAGTGGTTGGCACTGTTGAATAACTAGTGTGCCAAAAGAAGACATTTGGTTTAGAGATTTTCTCATAGATTTAATAAGCTCACAGATCAGTCTAAGTTGCATACTACTTTGAAATACTAAAATCAGTTAATATTTTTTTGGCAATGAACAAAAACTGCTCTAAGTTTCACATGTGACTTCCTTGCCTGCATATCCAAGTTTATGTCTAATGTATTGCTTGTAGCATTGGCCAAAGCCATGGTAGGTTTAATCTTTGCAAAACATCATTCAGAATTTTAAACAATGTTTAAGACCTAGTTTCTTGGTTAGAATGAAACCTGATAAATATATCCTGTACTTCTGACAAGGAAAGAGCTGATCCATTCATTTTATCCTAAACTTATCCCAAAAATGTTTGAATTGAATACTAAGATGGAGGTATTTTTTTACTGGAAAAAAGATGACCTTTCTCCATTTACAGTGGTGATATTTCTGTTGAATAAATATTGTGTAATTTATACAAACCAACAATTTTAGGTGAAAGAAAACTTGTTACGTTAAGAACAATATTGCTTTCAGTTTTGTTTTAAATAGAGAAAGTATGACATTTGATAAAAAATACACATACACTGATTTATTTATTCAAGAAATATAAACTTTTAAATATAAGAATGCTCATTGTTGTTGTAGCAATATAATATTTTCATGTACTAGTCTCTGTTTTACTCCTTCAATATGAATATACTGTAATTTCCAACATTTCATTAATAGTGTCATGAAATACTCAAGTGTAAAAATCTGTTTAATCTTAAGAGTTCAGCACGATGTTTTCCTCTAAATTGTGATAGGTTTACAAAATTCTAATTTCGTCTGTTCATGATAAATATAAACAGAGAATGAAAAATGTTGGTAAATAATATTAAGAAAAACTGATAAAACCTTAGTGCTTATAATTGGTGAACATATCATCATCAGATGAATTGCACTTGGAAAATTTTATCTGTGTTCTTAAATAACAAATCACTTAAATCACTAACCTCTGAATAGGCTGACTACTGTGGTGTAATTGATAACACAATTACAAGTCTTTGACAGAAAACCTAATGAAGAAGATTGGTCCACATTCACACTACTGACTACACTAAATGAGTGAGATTTGGAGAGAGTGTGATACAATAAGTTAACACTTGCTTGGAGAACACCTGAACTTAAAAAGGAAACAGACTACGATTAGTTCGGCTACATTTGATAACACACTAAATGAGCAGTTTAGGCACACTTGACACAAGTACTGAGCTTAGTTTTAAAAATATAGTAACATTTTATCACTTTTTATATGAAACTACAAAATGCTATGATGATAAACTATTTATTAGAGAGGCCGAGTCCACCCATTAAAATAACAACAACCAATCAAGGGCCTCACACTTCATTATTCCAGCCGTGCACATCCTTAGTAATGGTGAGAAGTCTCAATACGTTGACGGCCTTAATGAGCTTGGCAGTCGATAGGCCTAAAGCCCAATTATCCAACTGGTAGCATTGCAAAGCGGCCTAATGATCCAGTATGGTCGATGGTCTAAAAATACTCCTCTCCCCCTTAAAAAAAACTGGTAGTGCACATGAAAAAATTCATTCTGCACATGGATTGAAAACATTAGAGGGAACATTGGGCTCAGTACTTAAAGCCCACCTTAAGTCAGTGCCTTTGACTTGAGTTAGGTGTTCACTAGTTTAGTTATATTGTGTAACATGATAAACATGGTCACAATTGAAATGCCATGGAATTCTCTTGGCTGTATTGCAACAACTTAATTTCGATTTCCTTTAAAATTAACAATGTTGGTGTTAGGCTACCCTGTATCATATTGTAAGAAGTTTTAAAGTGGAGTATCATATATTACATTTTGAGAAGTCTTAAGCACTTTATTAACAAATGTGTTAGATTTGGATAACTATTTTAGTATATTACAAGTATTTGGACTGGGTCATTCTGTACATTTTCTCAACTTAGAGAAGTCATGGATTTGAGTATTACAATTTGTATGGTGCTAAGATATACCACTTTAAAGCAGAATTTTGTAAACTGCCTCATTAAGATATGTTTCTGTTCCTAACCAGGAGTCAGTTTTCACAGAAACTTGTAGAGCTGGCAGTTCTGTGTTAATATTTGTAAGAAGTCGCTTCCTACAGTAAAGATAGAATCCACAGTTACTGTAAATATATTTTTATATAAATCGGTGTTAATAGAAACTAGATTTCAAGATAATCAGCATTATATTTTGTACAGTGAATGTATTAGTAATTTCTTTTAATCTGGACATAAATGGAGCTATTTAATTCTCTGTCAGAATGGGTGAAATATTTCTAAGATTTTTTCCTACTCATTATTGGTAATATTTCTGTAGAAAAAATTATCCATTACTTGTGAAAATGGCCCATGTTGCTGTGTGTAAGATCTTTACTTACAGTATTTAAATTACTGTCTTCCAGCAGAACTTGGCTTTAGCCGTTATTCAGTAAGTTTCCTGTTCTGTTCATCCATGATAGATTCTTTAAAAGTATAATTTCATCTGTAAATTCCTAATTAACTTGTGGGGCATTTGTTTTACAAAAAAAGATGTCCTTTCTGTATTAACAGTAGTAATGTTTCTGTTGAAACGATATTGAGTAAATTATTCAAACCAATGGTTCTAAAGGAAGAAAAAAAACTTGTTAAATTAAAAATAAGAACACAATTGTGTTTATTAACAAGGAAAGTGTGATGTTTTTGAAAAGATAAAAAATAACATTGAAATACATTTAGCTCAAGAAAAATAAACTTTTAACAGTGTTCTTGTAACATTATCTGAGTGGATTATGTGTGCACATATGTTGAATATATTTTTAATGCCAAGTTTTATTTTTTAAATAATTGGTTATTTTCATCGAGTTGCTTCTATTAAAGAACTGTTTAATATAACATTTTTGAACATACGTTCAAATGACACCATTTGACAAAATTTAAGTACCACTGAAAAATGTTTTATTGACTGTTCTAGTTGAAAGTAGGCCAAAGATGATATCTTTTTCTTTGTAGTGGACCATTTTTATTGAAAATCTGAATGATTTCATCCTCAGCCTTGTCTTCAGTCAGCATTGTCTATTAAAAACTTTTCAGTGTGTGCTCAAAATATTAAGAATAAACTTTTAACAATGGATTCTATTTTACTTGTATTCATAAAATATATATATATATTTTTTCTTGACATTAATGTTTCATCCAATTCTGATAAAAAAGAACTTTTCTAGAGAGTATTAGTCTTAAATGTTTAGAAAAGGATGTAACCAGATTTTCAAACAGTATGTATCAGAAAATCAACTACAAGGTTAGTATAACTTAAAATAAATTTTTTGTTTCTTAAAATGAAATGCTAGAAAATCCATCAACTAAAATTCAAATTTTTTGTTTTGTTTTTTTAAAATTAAGACACGTTTGGTTGAATCATAATTATTTTCTTTTTGGGGGGGAAATCAAAAAGTTATTTAATGGTATAGATCAAAACAAATGGTTGCCTGTGCTTTTTTATTTTGATAAATGATTCTCTTGTTATTAATATTTTGCTTACCTCATAAGAACTAAAGTAAAGAAAGATGTTATGAAATTTGTATTGGTAGTAATAAAGCCCCAAATAAAGCTCTTAACAAAATTACAATCTGGATCACCACTTTTGTCTTACTTGCATCTGCTGTGTTTTTCCAAGTCATTTACTTATTTTTTTGAGGAAGGCTTATTTTGCGTACTTTTCTCTTCTTTTTTTTTTTACCACCCAACACTCTTCTTTATTTATTAATAACAATTCCTGTTATGTCAGTTCTAATAAAGCTCTTAACAAAATTACAATCTGGATCACCACTTTTGTCTTACTTGCATCTGCTGTGTTTTTCCGAGTCATTTACTTATTTTTTTGAGGAAGACTTATTTTGTGTACTTTTCTCTTTTTTTTACCTACCCAACACTCTTCTTTATTTATTAATCACAATTCCTGTTATGTCAGTTTTTTATGTACTGATAGTGGTTATAGCCACTAAATTATAATATTCTGTATGATCAATACTCAAACATCATTTAATTTTTGCTTAACCTGCAAAGTAATTTTATTGTTTCAGACAGATGACTGTTGCATTATTACTGATTTATCATTATTTGTTTAATAACCTATATTACAGTAAGCCTTAGCTTAAACGGAAGTGTTTGCAACATCAAGTTTATCAACCACTGTACTTCTGAAAGCTGGTTAGAGTTACCAAAAAATATTTTTATGTGTTATTGAACTTTAATACTGTCAGACAAGATTCCAGGTACTTTAAACGTGAAGAGACTGAAGATTGAGAATAAATTACAATTATTTACATGTCTGTAGGAGCTGGAGATACTATTGAAGTTCTTAAGATTGTAATTTTTATTGTTAGAAACCTAATTGGCACATACCTGCTATCTGAAGTTGATAATAACTTTTGAGTTTAGATTAATGCAATGTACATGGGCTTGGTCCATTCGACTAACCCTGTATTGGAGAAGGGATATTGACTATAATTCAGAATTTACTATGTGTATCTACACAAAATGTGGCAAGCTTTTAGTGAAATGTACAAGTCTGTTATACTGAAGAAATCAGCTTAGTTACAAAGCACTGTAAATTTGCCATGTTTAAGTTTGATGATAACTCCATGTTTAAGCTTGGTGATAACTCCTGAAGTAAAAAGAATGTCTATATTATCTATAGATGTTAAAAGAAAACTATCAAGTCATGTTGGAGTCTATAAGACTGAAAACAGTATTTAAGGGCTTCATTAGATCAATCATCCATACCTACTTTGTGATTTTTAGAGAATATTTAACCCTTACCAAAATCACTCCATGTGCCCATGGTTTATATGGTCGTGTTGTCTACTCGAGTCAAAGTCTAAGCTAGGTCTATACATTGTGCTTGTGGATCTAGATCTGTCTTATGTTACTTAGAGAAACTCCATTCTTTATAAATGAAAATCAGCTCTCATGGCCATGGTTCATTGCCCTTGGCAAAATACAAAGTAAAATGTGATCCCTACTGCCCCTTGTTAATGATTCCTGCCCAACTTGTACATTTGAAGCCAGCACAAGAAGGCATTTTATTACTTTTACTGTCATTTTATGCTCTTCTGTGTAGTCAGATCATGTCATACAATGCCACATTCAGAAGTGTTTTGAGGTCCCCATTATGACAACCAATATGTTTCCAGTGGCTTCTTACTAGGTAAGGAACTTGATCAATTCAGTTAAATATAGAAATTGATGGTTGTATAGCATAAGTCAAGAATGTTTGCACAGTTTTTCTGCTAAGAATTGCACAGAAACTTTGATCATTTCTAGCATAAAGTGGTATAAGTGGTCATACAAAAATTATTGTAAGAGTGGTGATTGTGTGACAGATAATTGTATAACCCAAATAAAAGATCATTGTAAAAGTTAATAGTTTGCTGTGCTGGATTAACAAAGTGTATGAGATATTTTCTTTTCCAGTGTAAATAATTTCCAAAGTGAAACTAAAACTTTAAGAATCTTTGTTAGCCTCAGGATTTTTTTTTTTAGATGTTTTCATTTATAATGTTCATTAAAAATGAAAATCTAGAAAAGTTATTTGCTGGATTTTAAAGCATTTAAGCAGCTAAGTTAATTACATTTGTGAAAAAAATCACCAATACTTATTTCTTAACAAGTCAATTGCCAATCTCCCTTTCACGTAAAACAGAAACAGGAGTAAACTGGATAACTAAGACTGTTATATGACAGTTGCTCCCTTTCTCAGTATTTATTTAATATTCAAATATGTTGCTGTAGTATTTCTGCATATTATCAGTAAGGTAAATACAACAAAAATAGAGAATACTCATAACAGCAGAAAATAAAAATGACTTCATGAATTATTTTATACCTGAATATTGGCCATTCTTATCTTGTTTTTCATGTGGCTTCATTTGTAAGTGGAATATGACATAAAATAAATTTCCAGCTTCATGATCATGTTTTATTTCTAGTTCATATATATATATATTACACATCAATTTATTTTTTTATAGGATGTAAGATAATTTCAAAATTAAAGTATCATGAGCTATCTTCATACTTTCTTTGCATGCATCAAAACAAAACTGGCAAAAGTGAAAAAAAGGTATACTGAACTAATACTGGAAGATGTATTTATTGTGTTATATATGAATATTTTATATTATATAGTATTTGTTTATAATTTATTCTTTATTCTGCATATGTGCAGGATTCACATAACACATGGTCGAGAAGGCCCTTAAGTTAATTTCATTTTAGCTGCCTTTGTTTCTTTGTTATTTTCAAATAGATAGTACCTGTTTTACTTGTAGTCAATATTGCTGCATTAATGAACAATGTGCAAGGATGTAAAAAGCAGTGTTCTTCAGTGGTAATTCAGGTGATATCTAAAGATTATGGTCTCACCTATGTTTGAATGAGAATGAAGAGTTAGGTGAGTAGCACTAGTTACTCTGGGTAAATGTGACATTTTTTGTGAGATAAGGAACACTGGTTTTAGTCAGTCTGGTACATGTATTCAGGCTGATGAGCAAAAAATAGAAGATCCAGTAAAAGCAGTTACGTGTCAGTAAAGAAAGTATGCATACGATGTTCATTTCATGTTTCACTTTGTGTGATTCTGTTTCATTCGTCCTCATGATCCAGTTATTCAGATATCGCATTACTTAGCAATAGGTATCTTTACCAAGTATCCTGTTATTAAGTGACCTATCCCAGTGCTCTAAGATTAACTCACTTTTACTTGATTACACCACAAAGTGGGTAGGAAGTAGAAAAGTTTGGTGCTGTAACCACATGATATTTTATGGTGAAGTTTGCTATTTCTGCTGATGCGTGTACTGCCCATTGCCTGACCATGTGTGCTTTAAGTTTTATAATGCTTCTTAATTAAAGGAAATGATATTTCTACAAGTAGAAGAACTGGTAACCAAAAAGGAGAGTCAGTCGCTGATGGAATATGGTTGTTTGAGAGAATAGTCTGGTCTATTGGTCTTCTATCTCATTTCAGCTGACAACTGAGGGAGAAGAGCCACCAATGTCTGGTGCACTCAGAATGGCTGTTCATGCTCTTTCCCTTGTTTCAAGGGAAACACAGAGAACTGATGATCATCAAGGTGATGTGGGGTCTGAATAGTCTGAGACCAAATGTGGTGGAGAATATAGAACTCCCAGACTTACTCCAGCCAGGGTAACCTAACCCCAGCTCTGTTCAAAGCTTTCCAAGAACATCAGGGAAAGATTGGAGTTGCTATTAGTGGATGATATCTGCTGAAGCATTTGGGCATTTTGTTAGAATTACAAACGAAAAATAGAATTGTTCATGAATATTCATGTATGACACATGCATGTCAAGGGAAGAAAGGATATGCACACTAGTGAATGTATAATGGAAGTTGCATAGAGACGATTGTCCAAGTAAGGAAATGGAAACGTCAAAGTAAATACTGAGATGCATTACCAAGCTATAATTTGTGAAGTAGAAATCAGCACTTTGTCTTATTTACATTAAACAAACGTGATCGTAGGGGAGAGAAAGGCTGCAGAAAGTTTATTCATCAACACTAACTAAAGGAAGAGAGTTCTATAAAATAAAAAAAAACGACTGGTGAAACTTTGTTTGGAAGGAAGATATGGTGAAATCCATGCAAATAGTCTGCCAACTAACATCTTATAACCATAACCAGTTATCAGTTGTTGTTTTTTTTATTTTGGATCGAGAAACATCAGAATCAAACCAGTTAGATGGAGGATCTAATTGCAAAGTAAGCATTTATCACTAGTTGAATCATCATATGAACACACAAAAATGTGATAAAAAGTCATGTATTCTGACCAAATGTCAGTTCTCCGACGAAAATCCAGAGACCAACAGTTTTCTCACAAGTCCCCAGAAAGCTAGAAGAAGAAGAATGGCAGTATTATAGCTGATCCAAAATCTCCAGCAGACAAACTTTCTGTAAAGTTATTATTTACTACACTCTCTAGTCTAACAGCATAGTTAGGAAATGATGTATAATGTGTGGGAATAATAAGACGATGTTAAAAGGGAACTCATTGGTAGACTTAGTAAGATTTATTGAAGAAGTAATAGCTTTGATGACAGATATTTTAGAAGAAGTGCTAACCAGATTGCACAAACTATGTCTAAATGTATTTCACGTAATGTTTTAATTTATAATTTTTTGCTATAGTGTCAGTTCCAATGAATCTTATTAACGGTTTAATCAAGTAACAGTTGCTCGCCCAGAACAAAGAATTTGATGCTTTTAATGTAGATTTTAAAGATGGTTTGGGTACTGTAGATTTGAATGAGTATTTGAATATTGTGAATTAAAGTGTTGTATGTTATTTTGTATCTCAGTCTCCAGGTCATTTCTTTATTCTAACTGTAAACTTTCTCGAGTTGGTGACTTGTATACCCTACTCGTGACTGTAAAAATCTTATTTGAAATAAATTCATTTGTAACTGGTGTTAAAGTCAAACCCTAAACGACTAGCCTACCAGCCTCCTGTTACACTGCCAAAAGGAGCTATTATCACACAACAGATGAGATGGTGGGCACCGAATGGTAAAGTGAATGGACCATGGGACAGTGGTGAATCTCTCCAAGCCAGGAGATATACTGCTAAGATAGTCATAGATCACAGAGGAGCTTGGGGCCATGCAGAGCTGATGGATGTGTTGCCAATTGCACCTCGTCATTCTGCCAGAGCAAGGGACTACTACTTGTCATTGCTTATGATGTTTAGAGCATATTGGTCCGGTGCTAGCCAGGAATTCGTGAAAGAGAGGGTCTGGCCCCTTTAACAGTTTTGTGTGAGCAAGGCTATGCAGATCACTTCGCTAACATTCAAGGGTACAGTGAAGGAGGACTTGGACAGTTTTCCAAAACATTTCAGTTTGGAATAACTAAACTGAACCTGGTTCTAGACATTATCGACACTTGAACGAAGAAATATTCATTACTAAGTTGTGCCAGAGGTTCAACTTGGTGGAAAATAGAGAAATATATTTGGCTGAATTCAAGGCCTTGAAGACGAGCAGATATTCTACACTCTTTGCATTGTATGGCATATTCTGCGATGGCCTCGGCAAATCACAAAGATATCCCTGTTAACATGTTCATATAAGGCCTACCCAGTGAAATGATATGGTATTTTCTGGGTGTAATGGATCTTCTCACCCTGTCGTGATGTGGTAAAAAGTGATAACTTTAAACTGGTCACAAGAGAGAAAGCCTGTAGCAACAGCTGCAGTGACTTCACCTCAGACAAACCATCTTAGCCAGGTACCCACGTTGCACCAAATTGGAGACCAACCAAGGGTCTGCTAACCACCCATACATCTAAGAGTTGTGATGCAACCACAATGGTGTACAGTGAATTATTCCAAAGTTTGGGTAAGTTGTTTTTAAGATTGGCAGCACTTAAGTAGAAGTATAGAAAGATGTGAATTGTCAGTATATCGTATACAATCACGTATAGTGTATGAAAAGTGGTAGTCATAAGGAACATTACACGAAGCCCTAAAAATTAAATTGAAGCAGGAAGTTAATTATTGACCTCGAGTAATAGACCATATTATTAATGTAACTTTGACTCTTGTTACTTATAGTTATCTATCAAGGGTCATGTGAAAGAAATAAGCCAAGCTGGTTGTGGTAGTTTTATTTCAATTATTGAACTCCTAAGTCAATATGGTCCCGTGTTAAAGGAAGCCTGAATTATTGAAGTGCATATCACATTCAGGTAAGACACAATCAATGATGTAAGAGTGTTCTGTTTTATTCAATAACCATTGATACCACTCAAGACACATCCATAAAGGAGCAGTTGAGATAAATTATAAGACACGTAAAAATATGCAGGCATCTACAACCAAGACCTGATTAAGTTTGGAATCTCGGGACAAATTTTGAAGGGGAATCCTCAGAACTGAACTTCACAAATAAGTCAAAAGCACTTTAATACTATTAATTGACTACAGTTTGAGCAATAAACAAATACTAGCGACGGATAGGTAGTTTACAAATCACTAATTATAATACTTATGATGAATATAAAGTAATAAACTAAATAAATGGCCGACCAAATTTTTATGAAAAAACATGCCAATGACAAATTACAAAATATGAGGTTTATATGGAACAATTAAATCGCTGTTGTCATAATGATACACATGCAGACAATTTTTTTCAATGTGGCATAAAGATTTTGGTTATTTTTTACTACAAATAAAATGCAACTGTAACAATTATCTTTAAGACCATGTATGAAATCTGAGCGTTCAATATTAAACTCTGTGATAGAACTTGCTACATTAGCCCAGGTACAGAACCATGTATTTTCTATGACATTTCCAGATGTGCGTATGCTTTCTATTTCTTACACTTCTTGTGTAGGAAATATATTTAACTGGACTTGCCAATCTGTCAGTAAGGAATGAACGAGTTAGATATTTGGATACAAAGGACCTCGTCAACTGTTTTGCACAAAAAAAAACTAAGGACAATGAAACTGTGAAGATAGGAATGTTATTGTTTTATAATATAATGAAGTTTAACTGTCTAAGTGTAGGTTACTTGAAATAAACTAAAGCATGATAATTCTTGAGTAAAATATAAAGGCATTTGTGCGTCTTGCTACGTTTCTGGTTGCGTTAATGAAGCGTCGATTATCTTAACGATTAAAAACATATTCCAAATTCTACAGGAAATCGCAAAACAGAAATTTTGTACCCTAGCGGCCACTCTCCCTCTCGTGGCAAAAACATATCTAGCTATTCAACTTAATATTTCACATAGTGTTTAATCCCTTGGTGTTTTAGAAATTCTAAGGTAGCAGCTTTTTATTATATGTTATCTATTTTCTATGGTTAAAGCTCGTGTATTTTTTTACTGTTAAATAACTTCTTGTTGTTTTTTTAGCTTTTAATATCAGGCTCTCGG